GCATTGAAACTATTCCAGTCTAGCAGTTTGTAAGATCTTGTGTTACCCATAATTCCGACAAAGGCTGAGTTCAAAACAGCAAGTTAGTAGATCAGTTATAGGAGCAGATCGAAGTAAGCAATACAGAGAGCACAACAAGGACAACACTACTCCACAGGAACTGGAAAGACACAGACAATAGAGTTAATAGAAGTTCATTCATCCAGACAGGCCAGAGAGAGTAAGGACCATGCTACTTCAATCTAGTACCAGCTTTTAGCCATTATATCTTAAAACAGAAAAGGCTGAAAACTAGTTGCAAATATTGTTAGCTGTTCATTGGGAGTGTACATCAATACACATCTTTATTAATTTTGAATATAAATATCTTTTCCAAAAAGTTACCCTACTAATTTGTCATCCAAACACAAAATTAGTAAAATCACCTTCATCAAAGAGAGGGACACTCAGAAGATAAAACTCTTAGATATTATTTGGAGATTAAGAATGGATTTAAATAAACTGATAAATGGGAAGGACGTTAGACTATACAAAGACTAGTCAATATTACTTTCTCCATGGAATTAGGATGTTGTAGACTGGTTCTCAAGATGATTTCATAAAATATTTTAAACTAAAAATATTGAACTTTTATTTCTCTCCCAATAAAAGCATTATTGCACTAAAAAGGTAGGCATTGCTCATAAATCCCATTCCACATAAAAAAGTATTGATAGAAAAGTGTAGAAATGTGAAAAGAAATTATGTGAAAAGTCATACAAAATGCTACAACCTGTTCACCTCAGCATGCAAATATACCTAGTTGGCCACTGCTAAAATATACAATTGAAGAAATTAAAATTTAACATGGAAGAGGGAATCACCTCTTAACACACAAGCAACACATCAATATAGATAGATCACCAACCAAAATCAGCTGAGTTTGCATGGTGTAACTATACATGGGGGAGGTTGTGGTGCCGTGGCAATGTCATTGGACTAGTAATCCCAAAGGCCCAGACGAACGAACTGGGATCAAGGGTTCAAATATCACCACAGTAGCTGGTGAAATTTAAATTCTATTAATAAATTTGGAATACAAAGGTGGTGTCTAGATGAAATTCTCAGACTGCTATAAAAACTCAGCTGGCTCACGAAGGAAATCTACCATCTTTAACTGGTCTGGCCGACATGTGATTCCAGATCCACAGCAATGTGAACTGGCCTAGCAAATCACTTAGTTCAAGGGCAAATTAGCAGATGGGCAACAGATGCTGGCATTAGCAACAATGTTCCACAAAAGAATCAGAAGAAAATAGGTTTCATTAAACATGAAACAGGTTTCATTAACCTGAAAATGGAATCAAGGACCATTTTAAAAGACACCCCTAGCCTAAAAATACAAGATTGACAGTCCACACTGCATTGATCGTTATTCACAGTGAAATCAGCAATGAATTGTTTTGGAATAGATAATATGAGCAATTCATCGCTCTTAATGAGGCTAGGATTTCAGTTGAATAAAACAAATTAAAATAAAAATTTTAATCCTTTGCATTAGTTCTTTCCTATCATTAATTTACTATTTTGTACATATCAGAAGTAGAGAATTTTAATTTGCATAATTTCAAATTCTCTTACTACTTTCACACCAAGCTCTTTTTCACAGAAATTGAATCAAGCATTCAACAAAACAAAAAACACTTACAAATCTGGTCAAAATTTATGTAGTTTTAATGCAAAGTTTATGGGTAGAGGTGTATATTGGTTACATTAAATGGTCAAGTAATCCAGCTACTTCAACTACTAATCCAGGGGATACATGTCCCAACAGTTTGCGAATTTGGATTCACTTAATAAAACGAATTGGAAATGGAGAACTGGCATCAGCAGTGACCAGGATGTTGCCAGACGGTTTCAAAAATCTGACAGGTTCACTAATGCCTTCTGGGAATAAACAGTGCTGTCCTTATCCGGGGCAATCTATAAGTGACTCCAGCCGTACATCATCATGGTTGACTCGGAACTGCCCTCTAAAGCTGCATCAGACCACTACAAATGAAACTCTCATGCCATCAGCATTGTGGGAGCTTCTTTACCACATGAACTCCCAATGGTACAAAAAAAGTTGACCAACACCTTCTCAGAAATAACTAGTAACAGGCAACGAATGCCAGCCTTGCTGATGATAGCTAAATCACAAAAGATAATTTTAAAAATGGACACAGATGTTTGAGATATATAGCTTTGAAGTTTAACAATATTCATGCTCAAAGAAAAAGTGGAAGGAACCAAGTTTTGAATTTTTGTTCCTTATTGAGGACAGCACTATTTGCGAAGTGAAATTTTATTATTCTAATATTTGATACTTGGAACAATGCAGTAGTTTCAAATTTCCTAATTTTGAAAGAAACCTGAAAAGATGAAAGAAGAAATACTGTCAAGCAATGGCTGGAGACATTGGGCACATACATCCACAAGCCTGAGAGGTACACGGATAGCACGCTTAAAGAAATGGTCACACCACAGCTGAAGGCACTGGAGCAAAGAAACGAATGGGTTACGACCAGGAGGTCAAGGAGAAACAGGCAGGCTGTGCAGGAGGCCCTTGGGGGTCCCGTTCACAAATTGGTTTTCCATTCTGGAAGTTAAGGAGAATGCTGGTTTCTCAAGGGAGCGCAGTCAGAATCAGGCTTCTGGCACCACAAGCGGCCTGACTGTACAGGAGGGGAGGAATAAGAAAGCACGAGCAATTGTGACAGGAGGTTCATTTGTTAGGGGAACAGATAGGGGTTTCTGCAGTCATATACGACTCCAGGATAGTGGTTGTCCCCCTGGTGCCGCTGAGCAGCTGCAGGGCATTGTGAAGGGGGAAGACTGTTAAGAGAAAGGTTGTGGTCCACATCGCTTAGGTAAAGTCACCACTGTCTTACCAGACTATAGGCCTGCTCTCTCATTAGACAGAGACGACTGGTGGTAGTTTAACCTGAGGGTCAACACACCTTAGGGCGAGGGAAGAGATTGAAAATGAGACTCCTTCAAACTAACCTAAGCAGTGCTCTGACCCACATTTTTATACTGTTCTGACTACAGGGGAGATGCAGGAGGACTGAAGGACATCTAGTGTAGTTGCACTTTACAAGAAAGGTGGCAGAGGTAGACCAGTGAGTCTAACATCAGTGCTAAGGAAACTATTAGAGAAAATAGCAAAGGAGAAAATGAATTACAATTTCGAGAGGCAAGATTTGATCAGGTATAGTCAGCATGGATTTGTCAGAAGGAGGTCATGCCCAACAACATTTATAGAAATTTGCGAGATGACTCAGTGTTTGGACAAAGGTACAGGCAGTTAATGTACTTTATATCAATTTCAGCAAGTCGTTTGACAAGATCCGGGGTGGGGGGGGGTGGAGACGGGTTTGCGATGTAAGTAAGTTTATGGATGACACAAAGAATGGCTGGATGATTGACAGTGAGGAGGAAAGTGTTAGATTACAGCGGGATATAAAACAGATTGGTCAGATAGACAGATGGAACTTAACCCTGATAAATGTGAAGTGTTGCACTTTATAAAAAATTAACAAGACAAGGCAGTACTCAGTGAATGGAAGGACACCTGGAAGTTTAGAGGAACAGAGGGATCTTGAGATGTTTCTCTAGAGATTCATAAAAGGTGGCAGACCAGGTTAATAGGTTAGTTAAGGCAGGATATGGGACTCTTGTCTTTATCAGTCATGGCACAGATTACATGAACACGGAGGTCATATTGGAGCTGTACAGAACTGTAGTTGGGCTACAGCTGGAATACTGTGTGTAGCTCTGGTCACCACATGATAGGAAGGATGTGATTGCACTAGAGGGAGTGCAAAGGAGATTCACCAGGTTATTGCCCGGGATGGAGTATTTCACTGATGGAGAGAGGCTGAATAAGCCCCGGTTGTTTTCATTGGAGCACAGAAGGTTTGGTGTGGGGGGGGGGGGGGGGGGGGCGGAGGGGGAGTGAGGTGTGTGTGTGGAAGGAGCCTGTAAGAGGTGCATAAGATTGAGGGGCATGGTTAGAAAGTTGCTGTTCCCTTACTCAAAGAGTCAATATCAAGGGGACTTTTTTTTAAATGAAAGGCAAGAAGTTTAGACGGGATTTGAGGAAAGATTTTTCACCTAGAGGGTGGAGGTAGGAGTCTGGAGTGCACTGCCTGGGAGGATAGTTGAGGTGGTAAACCTCAACCTTTTAAAAAAAAAGTACTTGGATGAACACTTAAAATCATTGTAACATCAAGGCAATGATCTGAATGCAGGAAAGTGGAATAGTGTATGACATCGTATATTTTTGGTAGTACAGACTCGATTGGGTGAAAGACCCCTTCTGTACTGCATAATTCCACGATTCGCTGCCACTTAAAAACATGCCAAGCCCAGTGTAAGCATACACTGTTGATCCCTTCAAGATACGGCTAACGATTTGATGAAAGAGATGCATCTGTAATGTCTAGTTGAAATGTAATCCAACATTTTTAAAAGGTACTGAGACAATAACTTGGTTTTTACAGTCTCAGAGAGTAAACCATCCTTAACTCCAGTAAACTGATCAAAGGATCTCATGGTAAGAGCAGTCATTCCTCAACCTCATGAAAAGTCAAGAACCTAAATATTAATTTACTCTCTCTTGCTCCCCCACTAGCACCCCGCTCCCCCCTACCAGAGTCTGTCAAATGTTCAGTATCTGCAGTATTTTACTTTTGTGCCACGACAAAGAATCCTGGGTATTGATTACCAGCACCTTTACTAATAAAAACATCTGAAAAGAAAATCCCCTGTGCAAAAATAATCAGCTTGTTCAATAATCCATTAATTTTGCCAATATAAAACTGCTAACAGGTAACTTTATTTGTCTGCCTCCTCTCATTTCCTGTGAACAATCTGTATACGAAGCAATCTTATACATTTTCAATCCATAAAACTGAAACAATTTGCAATTCTTTTTCTTTCCCCAACAGACAGACACATCTGACGAATACACTTACCAGGATTATGGATTCGGTCCAATAACTTCACAGATCTCGCACTCACTACACCTCCAACATGAACAAGAAACCCAGGTGGGAAAGTTGTAAGGGTAAAGAAGGGGAATTCCTTTGCAGAGAGAAAGAAATTAAATGGTAAATCTACTTGCAAAATGAAATGATAGCCAAGTCATCACACTTCCACCCAAAATCCAGTGCACAGAACCAAGATGAAGGAACTAAAAGTGAAATATAATGCTGGGATTTATTTTTTTTTTACAGTGCAAAATTAAGAAATAGCTAAGTTTTGTTGAACCTATATGGGACCCTGCTTAAGCCTCAATAGGAGTGCTCTGCAAAGTTTGGTTTCTATCCTGTACAAAGGACTTAGAAACAATGGAGAAAATGTGAAAAGAATTTACAGGAACGCTGCTAAAAATGAGAAATCAGAGTTATTATGCAAGATTGAACTGTTTCCCTTGAAAAGAAGAAGACTTACAGCTGAGTACTTCGAGGCTTTTAAAAAAAACTGGAGATGTTGAAAAAAATCTCCAATTGTGAGAAAATCCAAAACTTAGGGCCATAAATACAAGACAATCACTAATACTTCAAACAGGGAAATAAATAAGGAAAAGTGGCTTTACTCAGATAGTAGTCACGATGTGGAACTTGCTCTCATATAAAGTGCTTCAGGCAAATAGTCTTAACACTTTCAAAAGGAAATTAGGCCAGTACGAGGTAAAATAAAATGGAAACATATGCTGAAAGCTAAAATGCAGTAGATAAAACAAAAAGTCACTCATGTAGAGTCGCTAGTTGAGGAGCATTACTACCAACCTAGACTTGTTAGGCCAAATGGCTGTTACACTGAATGCTGTTCCACCTGACGGAAGAGCAGCGCTCCGAAAGGTTGTGATTTCAAATAAACCTGTTGAACTATAACCTGGTGTCATGTGACTTCTGACACGGAAAATAGGAGAAGACCGTTCAACCTTTCAAGCGTACTCTGCTATTCAACATGATAACGGCTAACCCTTTACCTCAAATGACATAATCTCACTTTCTTCCCATTCCCTTTGATGCCTTTAAAATCTGAAAGTGTATCTTCCACTTTCTTGAATATATTCAGTGACTTGGCCTCTACAGCCTTCTGTGGTAGAGACTTTCACAGGGGGTTCACCACCGTTCAAGTGAAGAAATTATTTCTCATCTTGGCCCTAAATGATTTATTTCTCATCTTGAGACTGCATTTCCCGCTTTTAAATGCCCCAACCAGGGAGGTGATGGCCTAGTGGCATCATCGCTGGACTGTTAACCCAGAGACCCAAATAATGTTCTGGGGACCTGGGTTCGAATCCCACCATGGCAGATGGTGGAATTTGAATTCAATAAATATCTGGAATTAAGAGTCTAATGATGACCCTGAATCTATTGTAGATTGTCGGAAAAACCCACCTGATTCACTAACGTCCTTTAGGGAAGGAAACTGCTGTCCTTACCTGGTCTCCAGACCCAGGGCAATGTGATTGACTCTTAACTGCCCTCTAGGCATTTCGGGATGGGCAATGAATGCTGCCTGACCAGCAACGCCCTCATCCCGTGAATAAATAAAGGAAAAGAAAGGAAGCAGGAATGTTACATGTATAAATGGGCCAGCAAAAGCCTAGGGAGAGGTCTGTGTTTTTAAAAGAGAGAGGTCTATATTTGAAGAGTTAATTACACCCTCGTTCTTGCTGAGAAATAGCATTCCAGTATGTCAGGTCTCCTCCTTTCAAAATTGTGCTTGCAATCAATGTGTACAGACACTCAAATAGCAAAATGAAACACAATTGTTAGCTCGTACGCCAGTTTGTTCCAACATTACAGATCATTATCAAGCTCAACAATTTCGGATAAAAGTAATTGTCACTTGGGCAAATGTTGTTTAATTAAGGAATGCCAGCACTGATTAGCTAAGGTCAGACCATGTTTAACTAGTTTGCTTGTGTTTTTTGATAAATTAAGTATGTTGATGGGGATAATACTTTTGGTGCAGTGTACATGGACTTCCAGAATCCACTTGATAAAGTGCCACATAAAAGCAAAATTGTGATCAAAGCTATAGCTCATGGAAAACAAACATGGAAATGGACAGTTGCATGGATGTTAAATTGGCCAAATGACAGGATACAAGGTATAGCAGTGACCAGTTGATTTTTGGACTTACAGAAAGTTTGAAGAGCCATTCACAAGTGTTTAGTGTTAGTAACCATGCTCTTCCCGAAATAGATTTTACAGAGTTAGATCTTGGAGTACAGGGCACAATTCCTAAAAGCGTAGGTGATTAAACTATGACTAAAACAAAGATGGCCATTTAACTATCTAAAGTGACTCCACAAGCCAACTGATGCATTGAATCACATCAAAAGGCCCCACAGCCACAGAAACGGGCCCATGCCACAGTGTTTGTGCTTCAAAATACCTTCGCCACCTGGCTTCATCTTAGCCCATCAGTACATCATTCCATTTCGGTCTCCCTCAACTCTTTACCCTGCTTCCCCTTGATTCTATTTGTGTTACTCAAGAATTACATATTCTCACTGCTCTTTGTAAATCACAGAAATTTACTGGCTGATTTGGCCCATTATGTTTGCATTAGCCAATAAAGAACACCCAGCTGAATCCTACTTCTGGATTTTAGTCCATAGACTTGTAGTTTACAACAAGTGAACATCTAAGCAATTTACAAATATAATGAGTCTTTCTTTACAACCATTTCAGGAACTGAATCCCAAGTGCCTACCGAACTCTTGGTGAAAATACTGCCTCTTGAGCCCCTTTTACATCTCCTCCTTCTTACCCATAGTCTAAATATCCCTACAGAGTAGGTTCTCCCAATTTACTCTATCTAGACCCTTGTAATCTGATATACTTAAATCAATCTTCAATCAATCTCTTCTGCCCAAGGAAAACTTATTGTATGGAGGTGTTCTATTGGATTTCTTAATAACCATTTTATATTCATGGCCTTTAAGGATTCTTGATCAAAGCCTTTCATAACTTTAAAAGGCCTGTATTCAATCAATCCTAACAGGTTACATTGAATAAATGTCATCGTTAACATTCATACCTTAGACAGGGTATTATGAAGTAGCCAATGAGCATACAATTTTTTTTCCCATGGTCCAAAGTTGGTGGTCATCTATCTTATAGATTTATAGCTCCTAGTTATGGCCTGACATGAAAATGGAACTGTCTTCTTTATATTTACTATATCAATCTTATCCATAATCTTAAAGACCACTATCAGGTTCCCTCTCAGTCTTCTTTTCTCTAGCAGACTCCAGTTTGAGGAATCTATAGCCATCAGTATTTTACATTTCAATTGAATTTCAACTTAAGGCTTAGAACTCCACAGAGGCATATATATTCCTAAATTCAATAAGGCAAATAAACAATAAAAGGAGGTCAAATCTTGTCAGAAAAGTGCATAAATTACAATATAATTCAGAAACAATATCTGCAGAGCAACCAAGTATAATGAGTCCACGGTAAAAGCCTTTCTGAATGCTTACCCTGTGTTCAAAAGCAGACTGAGTTTGCTGTCGATAGAGTGTTTTCAATGGACCTCCATCTTTCCCACCGCTCCCACTTCCCATACCTAAGACATCATCAGGCAGGTGCATGATAAGCACATTATAATAACAAACAGATATCAAAATGAATCAGCATAGAAATACTTTTAAATACCCAACAGAAGTGATTATCAAGAAAATTGACCAGATGTCTACTTTGCTTCAAAAGATCAGGGACTTCCACCCAAAACATCAACATGTGTATAAGACTTGTCTATACATTCGGGGGCCAGTTAGCTGGATGTCTATCCTGCGACACAGCGGAGTGGGATCAGTTCTCGCACTGGCTGAGGTTGCCAGGAAGGACTCTCCTTCTCAACCTCTGGCCTCGCTGAGGTGTGGTGACCCTCAAGTTAAACCACCACCAGCTGTCTGTAATGGTAGAGCTGCCCTATAGTCTAGTGAATGTTAAAAGTCACATGACATAAGGTTAGAGACCAACAGCTTTATATGAAATCACAAGCTTTCGAAGTGCTGCCCTGTCGTCAAGTGAAGTGACTTCACCTGACAAAAGGGGTAGTGACCCGAAAGCTTATGATTTCAAATAAACCTGTTAGACTATAACCTGGTATCATGTGACTTTTGACGTTATCCAAACCCAGTCCAACACCGGCACCTCCACACTATAGTCTGGTAAAACTATGCTGATGAATGTTCTTCCGAAGGTTTGTAGTTTGGGTTGTGGATGAGATTGTTGGCTTGCTCGCCGAGCTGGCTGGTTATCGTACAGATGCTTTGTCACCATACTAGGTAACATCATCAGTGCAGCCTCCAATGAAGCGATGTTGTTCTACTCCGCTGGAATTTATATGACCCAGTCTGTTCTTAACAGAGGCCAAACTGATGACGTTACCTTTCATGGTGACAAAACAACTGTACGATAACCAGCTAGCACGGCAAGCAAGCCAACAACCTCAAGAGTATACTGAGCTTTGTTTTTTGATTTTTTTTTAAATTTCAGCTTACTATGTGAGAGATATTTTTCTTCCATCTTACTCCTCCTTCAATTACCAACTTTATTTCCTTTTTATCTACTTTTTTGTTGTCCTTTTAATTCTTAAATTGATCTGAAACATTAAAACGTGTGCTTCAAGTACATACCAATCACACTGCAATCCCTCTAGTCCAAAACTCTGAAATCCTGAACAAACTGTTACCTAAAATTATTTCCACTTGGTCCCACAACTTTCAGATTCGGAATCTGAGACACTGCAACAACTGGGAAATGTGCTTGGAGTGTGAGAAAAACATTCATACGGCTGAGCTGTGATTGTGAACGGTGCCTTAACTGTGTTTCTGCTCCTGTGTATCTGTAGCAGAGGATCCTTAACCTGGTAATAGCAGGTACATCACAAGTCAGCCAGAGCAGCTGATTATGCTGTGTGTATGGTGTATGCACTTGCACATGCGTGAAGAGGGAGCAATTTGTGTGTAGTGGGGCTGACGTCAATGAAGGTAACAGGGGTAGAAAGAGGCAAAGAGGGAAAGAAAGAGACTGATTATTGTGCACAAGTGGAAGGGGGCATTCACTGACATGCACACTTGCAGGGGGCTGTGGGCTAAGTCAAGATGCAAAAGGCACTAATTACTGCGTGTGTACATGTTAAAATGGGATTAGACTGGAAAAATGGTTTGGGAAACACTGGTGTAGGGGGTACCAATTGGTACCTGAGATAACCAGAGATAATTTAAGCACCTTCAAGTATATATTATGAATGCGCTGGAGTTTCCAAGCCTAGTTTTGGCATCTTTTATATCTCAGGTACATATTTATGTCTAATTATTAATATTAATAGATGTATTTTAATATAATGTAATATATACACATGTATTTATATCTGGTTTACACATCAGTGGTTAGGTATTCAAATAGTATGATATAATCGAGCAAATTCTGAACTTCAGAAATGCCTTCATTCAAAACATTTTAAATTGAAGAACTTATGATGCACTTAAACAGCTCTAAATTTAAAATGTTAGCTTGTGGCCATTTTATAAGTATTTACATTCAATACTTAAGTGAAGTTGACAGCCATATTCATACAAGGTTTATTGAGAAACTTCAAATGGCTTATGTTCTAATAACAAATTTACAATGCAACCTATTAACGATACAGTGTTTCTGTGTGAATCTTTACCTATATATTAAAACACTTGCACCTACTGGATTTTCTTGGGCTTAGATATTAATAAATGGAAACTGCTTACGCAACTTTGCACACGTATCTACATCCTACCCCTTAGCAAGTGTTCCAGAATCACTGGCAGGGAGAAGCAATTACACTGTGTTAAGTTCATATAGGCAGCTTCTATTGTATCCGTGGAGATGGGAATTTAAACAGAAATATAAAAATATGGACATAATGCAACTCTTCAAAATGCGAACTTTAGATTCTTGTCTAATAATCTCCTCAATCCCGATTCACCTAAAACTTGACTTGGTCCTAATTAAAATTTAATGGAAAACCTAGTATTCTTTTTAAAATGTGTTGTTGACTTTTACAACTGTAACTTTTTCCTACTGAAATCATTTTCTTTAATAATCACTTTCTTGTAACTCATATACACTTTTACATAAATTATTTTTCAAATTGTAATGACAGAAAAAAACATGAAAAAACCTTATATAAAGTTGGTGTTAAAAGTTTTAGCTGTGCCTTTGATAAGGAAACAGTGCAGACTTACCGATACTTCTGTATAGGCCTTTGGTTCACATAAGCTAATTTTCTTTAAAAAGGAGTAAACAACACATAGCAAAAGTGCACACAATTTTGTAAATTTCTTTTTACAAGAGAAAAATGAGCTCATGCGAGGTTGTACTGAAGAAAGGACAATACAGAATTAAAACACACTACTTAAAAATTATGTAAAGAAACATAGTTTTAAGCAAGAGATAGTAGGAACTGCAGATGCTGAAGAATCTGAGATAACAAGGTGCAGAGCTGGATGAACACAGCAGGCCAAGCAGCATCAGA